ACGCACGCACGCACGCACGCACGGCAGATCGATCGGAAGTCATGGATGCTGTGCAGTGTTCAGCCAGCCTGGCTGATGCATGTACATCAAGGCTGATTTCTCACGTATTTTCGCGGGAGTGCTTTTCTGAATGTGGCACTGAAGATTCTGCATGTTCGAGGTCTTTGGGCTTCGAGGTTCAGATTCGCGGCATCAAGAAGTCGAATCCTGCCATTGTCATGCGTCGCTCGGCCTTCTTCAGAGACACCGGATGTGATATGGACATCGCAAGACTCACGCGAAAATCCCGTTGCAGGTATTCCAAAGGATCAAGTCGTGCCGAAGTCATGGGGCGCGCTTGCGAAGGCCTGGGTTGACAAGTAAGTGGTTCTCATGGAACTTCCCTCGACAGGCTCTTAGCTGACGGAGCCGAGCATTGTACCAGCTTCACCATGTTCAATAGTGGTTTGTTGAAGACCTCGGAGTGCAAATCTATGTAATGTGTGCGCAAGCTACCTGTAGAATCTCTTAGCATGGCATGGTTTGTTGTGGATCTGGAACTGGAGATGTGCTTGCTGTCGTTGTTCTCCCCCCCCCCCCCCGCACTTCTCACTCGCTTTGTCTCCTCTCTCTCCCTCCCTCTCTCTCTCTCTCTCTCTCTCTCTCTCTCTCTCTCTTTCTCGGGCCCATCCGCTCATTCTGCAAACTTGACCAGGCAGCCGCAATGCCCGACTCGACCAAGTGGCCTGGCATGTGCAACGTTTCTGTAGAGTTGCCACGAGACCACCGAATGCCATTGGTTCCTTGGTGGCTCTGTAGGCTAGGCATGGGTTTGCCATGGTCCATGATGGCGGGGCATTTGCGATTGTATTGATGGAAACACGAGCAACACCAGCTCTCAAAAACACTTCGCCTGCGCACCGATTGCTTACACGGTGAGGGCTAGTAGTCGCAACGATGTGGCCAGCCAGGTGAGACCAAAACACTTGAGCCTGAGCGTCGACACCATCTGATGTTTTGGTAAGCAGGGCAGCTCCTGTCTGGCGAACAGAGTCCTGGATGCAAAAGGGCAGCTCCTGTGCCTACAGTGGCGCAGCACGCAGCTGCGTTGCTTCATAGTTGTGGAGCAGTCTTGAATCTGAATGTCCGATGGCTACGCATCTGTGACGCTGGTGTGCCTGGTAACGCCTTGGACATCGGGAGCTTCGGGACTGCTCCACGAGGCATCATCGTTTAAGTGCATCGTTTAAGCTTACAGCTTTGCACGGTCTTAGCAACGGATGGTCTGCGAAATGCAGAAAGGTGCAGTAAGTGCCATTCCCTGCCATTTCCCGCAGTACCCCCTCAGAGCATCGTTCAACTTGTTTTTCCAAGGCTCTGCTGGCCTTCTCTTTCAAGCAGCGCAGGCCGTTGTAATGAGAGGTGCACCGATGATTTTGAGAGCTGCTGTTGCAGAAGGAGCTACCCTTCCTGGCACGAGCACTGCCTGGATCTGCCAGGCAGGAAAGGGTGCAAGTTGGTCCGACATCACCTTGCCTCGCTTTGTCGCAGGGTGCGTTCTGCATCCTGCTGGTAGCTGCTGAGCTCAAATCGATTCGATGCTGCTTTGATGTGCGCTGTGGTGATTGTGGCCCAGGCTTCCGTACGATCAGCTGGGGTGATGCAAACACGGCGGAGCAAGTTGTCACTGGCCTCGGCCTTGCTGAGGCTGTGGACCTGAATTCTTCGTCTCGAGCCTTCATTCAGGTCTGGCTCTCTTTGATCCACCTGGGCTTGGAGCAAGTAGGACAGCCTCAGCGGAAGCATTCTGAACCTTCCCGGACCCGTAGCAGCGCCCGTCAAAAATCTCACGACTCCAACACCGAGGAGGCATGCGCGGATCGCTGGCACTCGTGCTGGGTGCTCTCGGCTTCGGTGCCTCAGACGAGTCGTAGTTCAGCAGCGCTTGGCCCTGGTTGCGAAAGTTTGCGAATACTTGCAAGTAAGGAAGTAAGGATGATCACAGTACTTTTCTGTGTGACTGATGATATGCGTGGGCAGAGCAGCTTCAACCAGTCAGGACCGGACAGAAATTAAATTATAACTAAGCTCGTTGCAGGTGCTGCAGCTGTTGGGTCTCACGCTCAACCTCGGGCATGTATCCGTGTTCGCTGCACAGTGGTGACCATGCAACGTCAAGCGTCAGGCACAGCTTAGCTCGTGCAGCTTTGCAGCTCTACAGGCCGGGTTGGCAACGAGCCAGCACCCTTCAAAGATGCTGTGAGCAAGACACTCTAAGCAGGTCCCCCGTGGACGAGTTTGTTGCCTCGACCGTCGCTGGCGAGTGCGGACCTTTCAACTTTAAGGTAAACTGTTCTTGCGACTCGCCACTCACCCCAGTCAGCTCAGCCCTAGCAAAGTCCAGCTGAAACGGCTAAGGTTAGCTCTTGCGCTGATTCTTGCCTTGAGCGGCACACTCGCGACTCGGGCAAGAAGATCCCACTTCCGCCGCCAATTAGAGAAGCCTTCGTCACCGCCTGCATTGCAGAAACTCAGGCTTGGAGTTTCCTCGTGCCGCACTCACAACCGCAGGAACTTCGAGCACCTGGTATTGAAATGAAGAGCCAAGCCAGGTAACAAGCTTGGCCAGCTTGCGCAGGGCAGGGCCCTCAGAGCAACTGTGGATGCAAGCCGCCGGCGAAGAGGAAGCTTAGACCATTAGATGGCAGCAGCATTGATTGCGTTATGCATGTCTCTCAAGATATGGCATAATGTCGAGAGTGAGGGCAGTCCCCCAGTCAAACGGGTTCAGGAGACTCGATCGAACAGACTTTGTTTGCCGCGGCAGTCATAGTCCTTCGCAGCTCTGAACCCTGATCCTCTAACGACAGAGCCTCACACCGCGCGCCGAGCGATCCAAAGTTGCATGCTAGATTCTAGGATCCATAGACGCCCTAACTCGGCCATGCGCGGGGCGGCGCAGAGAGCCTGGGTGACGGTGGGTGTGCTGCTGTCGCTTAGCATGTGGCCGATGCTGCAATCAGGCTGTGACCCTGCCACCGTGCGAAGCGCGTAGTAAAAGATCGGGAGTCTTGTGTTCAGCATATGACATAATGAGCATTGGTCTAAAGTTAGAATCTAGAGGTCCGTGTCTTCGGATTTAGCCAAACCGGCTTTAGTTGACATGTAAAGCGATGTGTCCCCAACAGAATCGAAGAGGATTCTCGCCGGGCAGGCATGGCAAGGAAGTGGGGCGCCGTCGCCCCGCAAGCACGATGCTTTAGCGGCTCGTTCAAGCCGAGTCCTGGCTAAAAGGTCGGAATGAATCTGTCGCGGTCACATATGCACTTGCGACCAGGAGACTTCGACTGGCCGGAGGCCTTGCAGGGATTTTTGCAGAGACTCCTATGATTTCTCGTGTGGGCAGCTGGGGTCCTAGCTCCAACAGCCAGACTGCCAAGACGCACTCTACCGATAGCTTTTCCTGCCCTCTTCACGCATCGTGGCAGGAAGCCTGAAAAAAAGCAGTAGCTTTTGGGCCACGACGCCCTCGAGATCCGTAATCCTATAGGATATCCCAAGTGTGGTCGGTACACCCCACCCCCCATAGTATAATATAATAGAATAGAATATAATATAATATAATATAATATAGTATAATACAATATAATACAGTATACTACAATATACAATATAAACCCCCCCCCCCCACCTCCATGTGGATCTCGCTCCTGGAGGCGAGGAGGAGGGCAGTGCGGATGCGACATCTCGGAGGGTCCGGTCTTCACTCCTCGAGTCGGCCGTGACAAGGTCGCCGCTGCAGGCGGCCGTGAAAATGCCGGCGTTTCCGCAGCTCAGCTCTCAAAACCGGGCATTTGAGAGGATCGGAGAGGATCCTGTGTTGTGTCGTAAGTAAGGAAGATGAAGCCGCTGCCGGCAAAGCTCGTTCGTTCCGGGCACTGCGTTCACGTGCCAGCACTGGGCTCATCCAGCGACGATGCCAATCTAGTAAATGCTCTGCTGGAAGACATCGAGAATCTGATCAGCGATATGGAAGTAAAACTTAAGAGTAAGTTGAGGGTTACTTTTTTTGTGAATCCAGTTCGATAAGATACCACAAGTTTCCACAAGGCCTAGCCAGTGTTTGTTCCACTGTCCAATCTAGGAAAGCTGGTAGCCACTTGAAGCTGCACAGAAGCAGGCGGCACATGCAGTGACTGAGATGCACGCAGCCGCACCACTGTTTTGAACTTACCCCCCTTTCCCACTCCCTCACATGGTGCGGTCTTCTTGTCTTTGTCTCATGACAAAGCTATGCAAAGAGCAGCCCCGATGGACGAGGATGTGGGGCGAGCACCTGGCTTTCTCCAAGACCTTCACCGCAGTGGTAGCGCGGCTTGTGTCTTTGTTCGGCTTGTCCATGGTTGACTGCTGGGTGAATGTGTACCGGCTCCCTGGCTGCACCATACGGTACCCTTCTTGCGCTGGGCCCTGCTCTCCACGAGATGTAGCTCCGCGCCTTCTGTGTTTTGGGTTCGGCTAGAGATGGTGCAGCAGAGGCGGCAGGAGGTCGGCTGAGAGTTAGTCCGAGTCTAGGACCGGCATTGCCGAGGAACGGCGAAGAGCAAAAAGCCCCACATCAAGACAACTACAAGGAGAGTCATCTTTTCCCACTGAGTGTTGTCTCGAGCGAGGCAATATCTATCAGTTTTGCCAGAGGACCGGAGCCCTCGGCCCAGCGCCACCATCGGCCTCAGCCTGGGCGCCGCGCGGCCGACGCCCGGCAAAAGGGTGTGTCTGAGCCTGCTGCATCCTGCAGCCTGCGTGATACGTCATGGTTGCAGCAACCAAGGATTAGCTTCAAAGATAGGCCGGCAGGGCAGCGACAGCTTGCATGATTCGGTGCCACAACTTGTCAACATGATGCAATCATGAGTCCTGGCGTGCAGTATGCTTGCGATTGTCACACGAAGAGAGCGCATTCATGCATCGAGACCGAGCTTGGTGCTCGTTTCGCTTGCGCTGACAGGTTCACCGGTGAGACGTTCCGGATCAAGCAAAAGAACGGTGGCTTGCTCCCGTTGTTTTGGAAACTGCTCGACCTGACTGACTTAAGGTCTTAGAGCGGGAGCCTGCTCAGTTTCAGGGGGGTGGGTTAAAGCGACAACCCGCAAGACAAGTTATAGCGACTCCCACAGCACTATGGCATGGGGTTCGGGAAGCGACTTGGGTAGCAAAGCAAGCCTGTTCATGGATGCCTTTCTACTCTAACGGAAACGTGCACTTTCAGGTGACGTGTTTGCCTTCGACACGTTCTTCAACGACTTGTTCACCCATTCCATTCCTCCGTCGAACGAGAAGGATGATGGCGTACGTCTGTCCATCATAATCTGGGCTGTGGAAGGCGATGGTTCACTGGCCGTGCCGACAATGAGACGACAAGGGAGAGGTTTCCCTACGCCAGAAGAAGTGACACTCAGCAGAAATCGCTTGAAGGGCAGCCTGGTAGAAGAGCTAGTCATGTAGATTATTGCCTGCGTGAAAGATAAAGAGTCCACGATGGTGTGAGGAAGTGGACGAACTGGGATCTCACCGACGGGCTTTGGTCTGACTCTCGTGCCCTATCCGGCCTTTGATGACCTGAGTCGGGCGTGGAATGCTTCGGTTTACCTTTGCTTTACTGTGAGGTCGGAAGCCTGTACAGTATAGCAGGATCGTGGATAAGTTGTTCACTACCCGCAGGGTGCAGAAGCAAAGGTGATCCGATCAGATGATCAGCCTTGTGAGGGCTACATCCTCATGGCCTGACGTCATTTTCTTAGCTTCGATGCTGACATTCTCGCAGAGGAAGCTAATCTAGCAGATTCGTAGCTCTGCTTGGGTTGGCCTGGATGTTGGATGGCTTGTTGCCAACCCCTCCTGACTCTTCGAATTCTAGGATAGCAAGTCCACTTCCAAACGAGCACATCCGGCATCATGTTTAAGTTTCACTTGCTTGCCTCACGTGGATAGGCCGCATCAAAAAGGTCGTGGTAGTCTTGATTCCTTTGGTAATGCTCTGGAGACTCTCGAAGCGCCCATATGTCTGCGAGCGGCAGCCACTGCTCGCTCGAATAGTTGCGAGGCGCAGTTCGCCGAGTCCCATGCGCAAGCCTCAACAGCAGCAAGGACCCCAGCGGAATACGAATGACCGGAAGTTGCTGCACTTGCAGATGCCAGTCATGCATCCTCAGCCTGTGACCCGCAACGATGGCTCAGGTGTTGGCCGCGATGTGCGACGGTTACCTGGTGTGGCGAGCTGAGATGTGCCAACTGGGCTTACCAGGTTGCAGCCGGATCGTGTGCCCTGACCAGGCTTTCGTCTGATCTCCAGATTTTGCAGCGCGCGCCTTACACCAGAGTGGTGGCGGATCTTGGCTGCTCAGCTAAGATTCCATCTCCAACACTCAAGGAATGAAGGACCCGTCGCTGTCAGGTCACACGACGAGCGGCTGCGAGGTTGGGTGAGAAGCCCTCCAAGCAGCTTCAAGCATAGAGATGGATAGCCAGAAGATGCCAGAAGCATAGATGATCGTGTCGGCTTGCAGACAGAATGTGCTCCCACCGTCCCGTTTATCTGCATTGCGGCCCAAGCCAATTAAGGTAGCATAGCAGGCACAGATTCGCAGAGGCGCCTCCCCGGTAAACAGCACCTCCGGAAAATGAGCGCTGAAACGCAGATGAGACAATTCGAGCTGAAGCTGAAGAAGGCAGAGTTGACGACGGTCCGGCTTGTGATTGAGACTGAGGGGCGTCAGCCAACCCGTGTTTGTTCTTGCGGTTTATGAAGGTTGCCCGGTTGGCTTAAATCCTGTTGAGATAAAATGCCTTCTCTTTTCCGAAGTTGCATCTAATGTTTTGTTAAGCTAAGTCTAGTTTATGTGTTGTGTTGACGCAGGGGTTCTGGTAGGGTTTCGTGTCACAACAAGCCATCGCTCCCTCAGCACACTTCTGCAGGGTGACATCCTAGCCTTGTCCCTGGCCCAGCCAACTCCTTATGACTCGTAGCAAGCCATGCCAGCGATGCCCTGGAAGCCTCGTACAAAAGTCACATACATAAGACCACCCACTTGCAAATCCGTATCTGCCAACCGAAACCATGTTCCGACCTTTGCTGCAAGCCTGACCTGAAGAGTTGAAGAGATGGAAGAAGTCCCATCTCTGCACAGAACATGTGGAGGTTGAAACTTGTCACTGTCCTCCGCCAAAACCGCCCTGCTTGCTGAACCCGGCAGTGTTCTTTCCATCGTTGCAGGCGATTGAGCGTGTAAAGCTGGTCCTGGAGGCAGAGAGACCTGGCTGCAATGTTATTACTATTATTACTAGTATTATTTATTACTATTAAATCTTCGTCTTATTATTATTGTTGTTACTACTATTATTGTGAGAGGCTTGGGATTGATCCGGCATTGAGTCTGCGAGCACGGGCCTTCCCCTGTACTCAGCCAAGGAAGAAGCCTCAGCTTCCGGTAGATGTGCACCACAGCTACGAGGACCTGTCGAATGGAACTCTGCACAAAGGGGCCACGAAAGGTCATAAGACAGGTAAATGTACCGTGGTACTAATGCAGGATTCCGATGTTCCCCGAGCCATGCGACCCTCCACAGACGGCGAAAACCTGAAGCTAGAGAGGGGACGCTGTCGCTGGGTTGCAGGACAAGTTCACCTTATTGGAGCGGGGAAGCTGTTTGGCCGTGGCCTCGCTCGCAAACAGCCTGGAACAACTTGGCCTCGGCGCCTTGGATGAAGATGGCTCCTTTCACGAAGAACTACAGAAGGCCTTGTGTCCTAAACCCCTAAAGTCCCGCTTCCCGTGAGTAATTTGGTTTCATTCTCGCCGACCTAAGACTACATGCCTCGCCTGGACTGTCCGAGCGTGAGCGTCGAAACCCTAAGCCCTACCGAAGGCATGTCCGAGTGTGAGTGCTGAAACCTCTAGACCATGAACCCTGAACCCTAGACATCCCTGGACTTGCAGCGGAATGATCCGAGTCCGGGTCGCCAGCCCTAGCACGAAAACCTCCCAGGCCGTCCAGGTCGCTCAAGGATACAAATTACTTGCGTATGCACATCCGTCATGCAGAAATGCTTCCCTACATGTATACGCACATACATACACTTCAGCACGCTACATCGCATTACATGGGGGGGGGGGGGGCATTACATACAGACATACATTACATACATTACTTACCTGACAGTATAGTACATTGCTACATCAACACATACATACAAACCTACGCACGTACGGACATACATGCATACATGTACATACATAACATACATGCATATCTACATATGCATGCCGCACAGCACAGTGCATTGCATTAGATCATACATACATGCAAGCATACATACATGCATACCTGCATACAGACCTATACCTATACAAAGCGCAAGCATATACACATACATATGCGTACACATGCATACAGATAAACACGCATACATGCATGCATGCATAGGATATCCACATACACATACATGTACGATATACAAACATGCATGCACGAACATGCATCCATACATGCATACATGCTTAGAGAGTTGCCTTTAAAATGCCTACGTCACGGGATGTGAATGAAACGAGCTGTTTGTTCACGGTCTCACCTTTTGTTGGGATTTGGCATCATGCAGTGTGAGCTGTTTCCACCTGTCCTTGGCTTAATCTGCGGATGTGATTGCCCCAGAGGCATAACCTGACTCAAAACGGGAGACGAGATTTGCATCATGAACCCCGAAACCTTACGACACCTTTGGAACCGGTTGAAGAAATAAGCCAAGAGGAAACATGCAAGTGACCGCTGGCAGCGGTTGTATTTGTTTCAGGAGACCGCGGGTTTGCAAGATGGCATGTCTCCACATGTATGCATATGTCCTGCACATATAAGATTGCTTGCTTTAGCATACAATTCATAAGCATGATTGCTCATTGCTTGGCGAGAGGGAGCGGGAGACAGAAAGACTCAGCTTCATTCATTCAGCTCTGCTTCAGGCGGGGAGAAGCTGGCGCAACTGCAGACCTGGGCGGCAGCCAACGCGGTGTCCTTGCGATTTAAGTCAAAGGAGTCGGACGGCCCAAAATGCACGCCCCTGGCTACTCTGTCTCTCTGACATAGATTGTCACTCTCTCTCTCTCTCTCTCTGTGTTGGTGATGCAAACTAATGCAAACCCTTGAACTTGTTGCAGATGCCGAAGGAGACCTGCCAGTTTCTGCGCGAAGTTACGCGCGATGAGGAGTCCCCCACGAAGCGGGTCAACGAAGTTCAGGTCGGTGGCGTTGCCTTTGGCCCTGGGGCGACGTTGAGCATCCTTTCTCTTTCTCCTCTTGGGAGACGAGGTACCCTTTAGGGCACAGTGACCACAAATGATGATTCAGGCTCGTTCACCAGCAAGACCGTCACGAAAGTGCCTCGCCCTCAGCTCCGCAGGAGAGACAGCAGGCCTCATCAAGTATTCTTTGCAATTGAGTTGGTTAGGAGGGAACACCACTGAAACGGATCAGGACCGAGTTCTTCTGGAAGTTCGACATGGCCTATGAGCTGGAGGCCATCCGTGGTGTCGGTGCAGACGATTCCGATCGGCTGTTGATTTGCAGCCGAAGTGGTCACGTCGAACTGAAGACGAGCACCAAGTCCTCACCACATCCAGAGACCAAGGTCGCACAGCTATGAAAAGGAGCATCGCTTCTCTCGCCTCGCCCCCTTTTTGGCCCCCCAACATGAACAAGTTAGGCTGTAAGGCAGTGCCACAAAGTCAAGAAAGTAGTGTTCTGACTCGCTTCCTGGGTCCTGGGAGGTTTCAACTTGCGAAGAAGTGAACATCAGCTTCCTGCTAAAGCAGCTCTTGGGCTCGCCAGCAACTCCCGCGTTCAAGATCGATCGCTTGTCTCCCAAGTGCCGGACACCTCGGCGTAACCCAGAGGTTCAGGAAGCCGTCAATTTTGGTCGGAGCTACCTGACATGGATCTGCAAAGTCAGCAAGTACTTTGAGCGACTTCACAGGCTTCACCCACAGAGGTCCACCACTCCTACAGGCTCTTCCGACCTGTTCGTACCTGCACTCCCCCTTTTCATCAAGGGCTCTGCCAAAGCTGGGTCCAGTGCCAGCGGCGGCCAGTCCCTGGTACTCCTGGGCGAGGACGCAGAGGTCGCCAAGCACGTCGTGACCGCAGCTGATGGCAATCGCCTGCTCGGGGAGGAATCAAGAGCCCTTGGTGAGCAGCGTGCGAACCTGATGGAGGCTGGACCAGCTTCCGGGTCTTGTGGCCCAAGGAACCCGTCTCTTCCTGGCCGCTCCAACTTTTCCTGCAAAAGTTACAATCAGACATGTCTCCTGAAACAAGACATGCCAAGGAGTGTCTTGAAGAGCTTTTAGCATCACAGCCCTAGGCTACCGCAGTTGTCTGGCAAGGTCATGGCCAGTAAGGGCACGGGAGCTGTCATGGCATGTGGCTCGTGCTGGCACAGCTCTAAATACAAAACCGTCCCACCATGTCATCGCGTTGGCAGTGACTCAATTCATATGATCCTTCAAAGCATACGTTCGTCCCAGGGTTAGTCAAAACGACCCAAGGCCAAAGGAGACTGGCAGCTAAAGTAGTCTAACAGACAGCCGAGGGCATGAACTTGGGCCTTGTGTCCAGCTGTAGCAGGCACGGAGAAACGCAACGCCTTGGCGGTTGAATCCTGCCCCTGCAAAGCCGCAAGTGGAATTTAGAAAACGGATGGGATGGCGGAAGTCCTGCTTGTGTTTCGTATCTGTACAGTCTGTACACATAGAGGTAGATGGCCCGAGAGCCACCTGCGGCTTTGTCGCAGGTCTTCCCGGATGATGGCAGCATCTATACATGGATGGAGTCTTTCCGGGCTCTGATCTTGCAACACAGCCAACAAGTGGTCGTGCAATGGTCAGAAATGATCGAGTATGTCGAGCACATGCTCCGAATGCAGCTGGTGGCGGCCATTGGCAAAGAGGTGAGGCCTGCTGAGTTCGTGGGCGGCTGAGAGCATATCGACAGACGACTCCAACACTTCCATCGGTTTGTGATGTGCTCCAAGACAGGGATAAATGCTCATGCATGTTCGCACGACTTTGTGTGATGTGCTGAGGCTTCATACATGCGCTTCCACTATCGGAAGTTGTTCCGAGAGGCCTACCAGCCAACCCCTTGCAGGCACGGGGAGCAAGACACTCAACAAAGTGTCTCATGAAGCAACCCTGGCCCTGCAGTTTCGCCATCCGGCGGTCAACAAAGCATGGGCCCGAAGGCACCATCAGCATTGAAGAGGAGGCAATGGTGCACTGCTAGCTAGCTAATAGTGTTACTGCACAACTTTCGGAGCATCCCGTGTGCTGAGCGACTCTGCTATCTTGAAGGCTTTGGGTTTGCAAGATGAGAGCAGCATCAAAAGCCCGATTTGTGCCATCACGGCTGCCGGCCGCACCCCATCAACGATGACGTTTCCTCTGAATGCCTCGACGACGATCTCTTTCGGAGGACAAGTCCACCTGCACGCTTGGCTTGACCACCAATTCTCCGGGCAGTCATCCTCCAAGCTGTCCTTGGTGTCCCGGGCTCGCCAGTTCAGTTCCTTCATGGTGCTTATCGGACGAGTTTCGTCCTCCACCACCTTTGACCCAAAGTATGCGGCCTTGGTACAGAATAAGGATGAGCTGGAAATCCCTCTGGAACTGTCTACAATCCCAACTCCCAAGGAATTCAAGGATGCTATCGAGTCTTTGTCGCCGGAGCAGCAGGAGTTTGCCAAGGCTTTTCGAGCGATGCAGCTGGAGAGCACGCTCGGCACCGAGATTCAGAGCCACAGCTCTCAGATGTGGACTTGAAAGCCCCGAGGCTCTTTGCTGTCTTGGTCGTGCAGATAAAGCCACAGCTCGAGAAGCTCCTGAACCTGGCCGATGACAGCTTGACCAAGGACTCGGGGAAACCCTAGGCCCAAAGCCTTCCGACATCAGGAACTCCGACATTGCCTTTGCAAGCGAAGTGTGGTTTGAGTTGGTTTGGACTGCAAACAGGAGATAAAGCTCACGCAGGACTTGATGCAGCAACTTGTTACCATTTCATAGATTGACATGCTGCCACTCTGTTCGTGTTGAAGTCTGCACGGCATTGGATTTCTGTCGCACTCTAAGGCTCTTCATCAAGTATCAGATCCCCAGCGACCTCCTGTCCTTTACCAGCGACCTCCTTCCGAACGGCCATGGATCAGCAGGGGAGCGCCTGCAGGTCGTGAAGGGCCAGGCCTTTGTCGCGTAAAGTTGTGTTTAAAGGTATATGTCCCAATTTGGTACGGTTGCACACGCGCATTTATATATACATATATATATATACATACATATATATATACACGCAAACATACAAATAGATATATAAATTTGGTACCCCCCGAAGAACCACGCTTTTCTATCCTTCCTAGTTTCTTTGTGTCCTGCCCACACCTTCCTGTCCTCCATCACAACCTCTATGACCGTCTCTCCACTTCAATACCGATACCTAACAAACACACCCACACACACAGACACAACGTACACATACAAAAGGTGTGCCAAACTCCTGCCTCAATGGCAGGATTGAGCTTCAATCCGGACCCAAGATCCAAGATTCGAGCCTGAGGGCAGAATCCTGGTTCTTAGATCTTGGATCCGGGCAATTCGATCCTTCAATCCGGATTTCAATCCTGCTATTCCCGTTATGTGAGACGGCGGGAACGGCCATATCCAGAATAAACCCCTGAATAAATTCACGAAACAAGACGCAGTGCGACATAAATCTTCAAAGAGATCAACCACTCGAATATTTGGGCAAGATGCGACTTCATGGCGAAGTTCCGCTGGGACATACAACGGCCAAGATAGCAAGGTTTGATTTTTGTTTAAAAAGATCATTGAGTCAGGATGCAGGTGTGGATGCCCCTGCTCTTCAGAAAGGATGAACAGCAGTAGCCAAGAAGTGGTATAGTGGTAGTGCAAAAATAATAAAGTAGTTGTTTAGGAGATCCTGGTCAAGTAGTGCAGTAGTCGTAGTACAGTAATTGTACAGTAATAGTGCGGCAGTATAGTAGCAGTAGCAGTAGCAGTAGTAGGAGTGGTAGCAGCAGTAGTAGTAGTAGTAGTAGCAGTAGTAGTAGTAGTAGTAGTAGTAGGAGCAGCAGCAGCAGTAGTAGGAACAGCAGCAGTAGTGGAAAGAGCAGGAACAGTAGGAGTAAGAGTAGTAGTAG